CCTCTAAAGTCCTATAAGTTCCCCACTTTCCAAGACTTAGGTGTATATTAAGAGGACACTGGGATTTGAAATTTGGTTAGTAAGATAACTCAGAGCCTAATCTTCAGAAATCAGTCACACACAGAAGAACGGACCTAGGCCAGGCACGGTGGCTCAGGCCTGTAATCCCAGCACTTTGGGAGCCAGAGGCAGGTGGATCACCTGAGGTCAGGAGTTCGAGACTAGGCTGGCCAACATGGTGAAACCCCATCTCTACTAAAAATACAAAAGTCAGTCAGGTGTGGTGGAGCATACCTGTAGTCCCAGCAACTTAGGAGGCTGACATAGGAGAATCACTCAAACCTGGGAGGTGGAGGTTGCAGTAAGCGGAGATTGCACCACTGCACTCCAGCCTGGGCAACAGTAACAAAATTCTATCATCTTTAACACTAAAGATAAGTTTGATTCTCTTTTTGCCTGTTTTGTTTTTATTTTTGAAATTGTAGAAAGCACTCTCATGATTTTTTTTTTAAAAAGGTGTACTGGTCGGGGCATGGTGGCTCACGCCTGTAATCCTAGCACTTTGGGAAGCCAAGGCAAGACCAGCATGGGCAACACAGTGAGACCTCATCTCTAAGAAAAAAAAAGTGTATTCATAATTTGGTGTTTAAATGATTAGTTTGATTTTAATGTAGAAATCAGGCCTGGAAAATCTAAACTCCACTTGACTTCAGCCTCCAAAGAAGTCCACATGAACATAGCAACATAAACAGCTTAAAAGGGGGAAAAAAACAATGCTAAGTGGTTATATAATGGTTTTGCTTTTCTCCCCAGGGCAAAGATTATAGTGGAATGAGAAAAAGAACATAAATTAATATAGTTTAGATCTTGCTAACTTACTGCTCCAGTAAAATTGTCATCTTTCAATAATCAGAAGCATAAAATCTTCTAGGGTTACCAATTTTTTCCTCATCTGTTTCTGTTCCATGATGACACTTTAACACTTAAGAGAGAAAGAAGAAGTAAGAAATCTAAAAAAATAATTAGGCCAACAAAATCAGGTGTTTTCTACTTGTATTAGATACCTACAACAGTCAAACACAAAGAGATAGAAAGTAGAACTGTGGTTACCAGGAGCTAGTGGGAGCAGACAGTAAGTTTGTTTAATGGATATACATTTCAATTTGGGATGATAATTTACAAGTTCTGGAGACAATGGGTGATGATTACACAATAAGGTGAATGTACTTAAAGCCCCTGAACTGTACATTAAAATTGTTTTTTGTTCTGTTTTTTGAGACAGGATCTCACTCTGTCATCCAGGCTGGAGTGCAGTGGCGCGATCTCACAGCACCTCAACCTCCTAGACTCAAGCAATTCTCCCACCTCATCCCCCTGAGTGGCTAAGACCACAGGCGTGTGCCACCACACCCAGTTAATTTTTGTAGAGACAGGATTTTGTCATGTTGCCCAGGCTGGCCTGAAAACTCCTGAGCTCAAGCGATCTACCTGCCTCAGCTTTCCAAAGTGCTGGGATTACTGTGCCCAGCCGAAAATGTTTTTGTTTTCTTAAACTTCATTTCAAACAAAAAAAATCTGATGTTCCAACCAACAATTACTCTTCAAAACACAAAACCTGCTAGGCATGGTGGCTCACGCCTGTAATTCCAGCACCTTGGGAGGCTGAGGAGGATGATCAGGTCCTCCTCAGGAACTCCTTAGGTCAGGAGTTCAAGACCAGCCTGGCCAACATGGTGAAACCCCATCCATACTAAAAATACAAAAATTGGCTGGGCGTGGTGGTGCACACTTTGTAATCCCAGCTACTTGAGATGCTGAGGCAGGAGAATTGCTTGAACCCAAGAGGCAGAGGTTGTAGTGAGCTGAGGTCATGCCACTGCACTCCAGCCGGGGCAACAGAGATTCCATCTCAAAAAAAGAAAAGAAAAGAAAAAACAAACACAAAAGTCAATCTCAAAGCACAAAATCAGATCGAGTTTTCTTGTCTTTTATAATAGTACCAAGTTTTCAAATTCTCATTCATATTTTATCATTCAAAACACATAGTCTATTGTAATCTCAGCACTTTCAGAGACCAAGACAGGCAGATCGCTGGAGTCCAGGAGTTGGAGACCCGCCTGGGCAACATGGTGAAACCTCATCTCTACAAACAAACAAACCATAGTCTACATCCTAATGACTGGTGTGTAGGAAAAAACTGGGATGCATTTTCTACATTATTTGATCCTTCACATTTATAGTTTAGCAAATAATGTCCTTCAAAGATCAGGACTCCTATCTTTGGTCAAAATAGCATTACTCTTTTTATTTTATTTTTTGAGACAGAGTCTCATTCTGTCACCCAGGCTGGAGTGAAGTGGTGCGATCTCAGCTCACTGCAACCTCCGCCTCCCGGGTTCAAGCGGTTCTTCTGCCTCAGCCTCCCCAGTAGCTGGGACTATAGGGGTGCACAAACATACCCAGCTAATTTTTGTATTTTTAGTAGAGATGGGGTTTCACCATATTGGCCAGGCTGGTCTCAAACTCCTGACCTCATGATCCGCCTGCCTCAGCCTCCCAAAGAGCTGAGATTACAGGCACGAGCCACCGCGCCTGGCCAAACAGCACTACTCTTAAAATCAGCTACAGAATCTTATTATTGGTAATCAAGTGATATTTTGAATAAGGGTTCAAGAAATGACATGGGAGATTTTTCATTTCAATATTACACTTACGGGACAAATGCCAACATTTCATGTCTAATTCTATAATATCAGCAATGTACATGTATATAGTTACTGTGATTACATGATATATTTATTTTAAAAATCAGTCTTGGCCAGGTGCGGTGGCTCACACTTGTAATCCCAGCATTTTGGGAGGCCGAGGCGGGTGGACCACCTGAGGTCAGGAGTTCCGAGACCAGCCTGGCTAACATGGTGAAATCCCGTCTCTACCAAAAATACAAAAAACATTAGCCAGGCATGGTGGCTCACGCCTGTAATCCCAGCTACTCGGGAGGCTGAGGCAGGAGAATCACCTGAACCCAGGAGGCAGAGGTTGCAGTGAGCTGAGACCACACCATTGCACTACAGACTGGGCAACGAGAACCAAACTCTGTCTCAAAAAAAAAAAAAATTAATTAATTTAAAAAAAAATAAAAATCAGACTGTAATTGCATTTTTTCTAAAAATCTGGAAAGGGGTAAAATTCTCATCAGGTTGTATGCCAACTCGACTTGCGGGATTCCAAGACTCAGAAATGTGAAATTCTCCCGCTCCCACATCTACCGCTCCCACATCTCCCACATCAAGAGAAGCCCAGTGATCTTCCAAATAGCTCATGATTCTATATACAGTTGCTAAGTCAAGTGACAAAAAAGCATCATGCCATGATGCTCAAAAATGGTATATACCAAGTGACATCAAGCATTGGCTTACAAAAAGCAGATCTACAAAAGCCAGAAAACCAACTTGCTAAGATATTTCACTCTAAGTATCTGACATACGGCTTGGGGGAGAAGACTGGGTTACCAAAGTAGCCTAACCACTGAGCTGGGTTTTACACTGAAAATACCGTATGATGGACACAGTTAATTAACAAATCATAGGTAAGTATAACATTTTACTGGTTACTCAGACATCATACCTATTAACTCTAACAGGAAGACAAACGTACAAGTGTTTACTTATCAAGTTTGAGTAATCAAAAGACTGCTGACACATTATAATATATTGTGACAGGGAAGAATATGTCTTAAAAGAAATTTCGGCCACATACGGTGACTCATGCCTATAATCCCAGCACTCTGGGAGGCCAAGGCGGGCGGTTCACTTGAGTTCACGAGTTCGAGACCAGCCTAGCCAACACGGCAAAACCCCATCTCTACTAAAAATACAAACAAAAATTAGCCAGGCATGGTGGCAAGCACCTGTAATCCCAGCTACTCAGGAGGTTGAGGCAGGAGAATCACTTGAACCCAGGAGGCAGAGGCTGTGGTGAGCCAAGATCACGCCACTGCACTCCAGCCTGGGCAACAGAGCAAGACTCCATCTCAAAATAAAAAAAATAAAAAAAATTCAAGTATGATATCACTGCTTAAAATGTTAGAAATGTTGACTTGGCTGGATGTTTAAAAAAAAAAAGATCAGTACTATACTCTAAGTATCAACAGAACCTTGGAAACAGTTATCCACTAACTTAAACCATGATGGTTTTTACTATGTTAGTTATCTGTTCTTCAATAGTGATGGCAGGCTGATAAGAAATGTATGGCCTAATACTAATAAATTACCTGCCCTTACACTGTGACATTAATTTCTGAAAAATGCACTAAGTGTGATAACTATTCAACAAAAATCTAGGTAAAGCTGAAACAATGTATAAATTAATATTCTGGCACATTACTTTTGGCTTACCCATTTGCTTAGCTCTTTATTCAGTACCTAATAGAAGTTACATAAACTGACACAATTAAATGTATTCCTGAAAGGATATAGGTCAATACTGACGAATCAGAACTTTCCATCTAAATCAGTTCTGTCAAGACCTGGGAAAGATGATCAACTCTCACTCACAAATAATGAGTTCAGGTTGTCATTTAATAGAATTGCATATACTAATCCTGGTACCAATAGTCTCCTCAGTTAATTTAAGCATCAGGAATAATTTAGGATTCTCTAACAAAGGAAAACCAAGACAGTGCTAATTCTAAATGTTCTCAACTCAAAACATCAGAACCCTGGAATACACTGTATTCATTTATAATACTGTCACCTACTATATTTTTAAAAGTCTAATTTCTTCAAAATAACGTATCTAAAAGCAAACTAAAATCCAACACATATCCTATTTTTATTTGATTCTATCAAGTATATGGGAAATAATTATTAAAAATTCACTTGAAAAAATTAAGCCTGTGTAAAAATAATCCCAAATTACTTTCAGCAAAAAAGCCTAACTAGCAATTATAATAAAACTACCGAAAACAGGGAGTGAAAAAAAGAAATGACAAAACCAACCCCTCCTCGCTGACCATCTACATGTATGGAACGGATGTGATCTGCCAGATCTGGGCTAGAGTTGAAGCAAGCCTGGCACTGGTCCCAACAACAATTATAGGCAATATTTTTGCTTGAAGAAGTAGTGCTTCCTTGTCCATTCATCATTGCTGGAGTTGAACGCCCACTGGAAATTGTGCTGTCTACATCCATTATAGTACTGCTTATGCTACAAAAGAAGAAAAAAGGCTGTGTTATTCCTAGAAATATACTAACATGAATATGATCTTATAAATACTTAATTAAGATTACCACTTGACATTCTGCTCCATGTGAGCAAAGCATAGTAACCATATTCTCCATTAGAAAACAACAATGCTTTGATATTAATTAGTTGGCAATGAAGTACAAATCAAGACAGAAACATGACAGTACCTCAAAATCAGATATGGAATAATTTAAGCAACTTTTGGCAGGCATGAACTCAATACTGTATCTTACAGAAAACAAACCACACCCACACCCACACACAGCTTATCACATCTCATCCCTTCCACAGTTCAAAGCAGCAAGAGAAAGTAAGAGTTTCCAGCTGTAAATAATACATAATCAAAGCATTATCTTTATGGCTCTGCAAATCACTTGTTGACCTGAAATCTCTTCTAATCATTAATCTGAAAATATAACTGCTGCCACATCCTACTCCCTTTTCATATCAAAGAATTGGGGAGATTTTGCAGTATTTTCCCTGCTAAATAAAAAAGCAGAAGAGAGAAAACTGGTCTCTGATTTTTCTAAAGTCCAAATAAAAAATCTTTTCCTGACCCTAAAATTTTATTTTATTTTTTTAACTCATCTCTAGCCATAAAAACAAGACTGAAAATGTCAATCAATTCCTTTTAATTTTTATTTACTAAAGTATTACATATGCTGGACATGGTGGATCACTCCTGCAATCCCAGCACTTTGGGAGGCCGAGGCGGGTAGATTACCTGAGGCCAGGAGTTCGAGACCAGCCTGCTCAACATGGTGAAACCCTATTGCTACTAAAAATACAAAAAATTAGCTGGGTGTGGTGGCAGGTGCCTGTAATCCCAGCTACTCGGGAGGCTGAGGCAGGAGAATCTCTTGAACCCGGGAGGTAGAGGTTGGAGTGAGTGGAGATCGCACCACTGTACTCCAGCCTGGTCAACAAGAGCAAAACTCTGTCTCAAAAAATAAAATTAAATAAAATTAAATAAAATAAAATTAAATTAAATTAAAGATCACGCCACTGCACTCCAGCCTGGTCAACAAGAGCAAAACTCTGTCTCAAAAAATAAAATAAAGTATTACATAGTAGTAACTCTTTTATTTAAAAAAATTATATTATTAGTGGTCAAAATGCTCAAAAATTCACAGCTTAATAAAATGTACCACACTTTTTCCTTAATTTTAAAAGCAATTCACTTATTTTCTTTTTTCAAAATCTTCTCAATAAATAAATTACATGAAAGTCACTTCAATCATAAGGGTCAAGAGGAAGAATGTTTTCAGACTAAATCTGTGAAAAGGTGTGTATCTGCTTGCAATTTAAGAAATAACACAAGTCAAGTTGTGAAAATTGTATTAACTTTAAAGAGGTATGCTTCCCTCCTGCCAAGTTTTTATCATGGAAAATTTCAAAGACACAAAATATAGCTAAATCTGAATTCAATTAACATTTTTACCATATTTGCTATCTGTAATCTGTTTCTCTGAATCATTTCAAAGTTGCAGGCATCATGACAGTCAATCACAGCACATACCTTCTTAAAAAAAAGAACATTCAGGCAGGTCACAGTGGCTCATGCCTATAATCCCAGCACTTTGGGAGACTGCAATGGACAGATCACAAGATCAGGAGATTGAGATCATCCTAGCTAACATGGTGAAACCCCGTCTCTACTAAAAATACAAAAAATTAGCCAGGCATGGTGGTATGTGCCTGCAGTCCCAGCTACTCCAGAGGCTGAGGCAGGAGAATGGCGTGAACCCAGGAGGCGGAGATTGTAGTGAGCAGAGATCGTGCCACTGCACTCGAGCCTGGGCGACACAGCTAGACTCCATCTCAAAAAAACAAAAAAAAAGAACATTCAGGCCAGGTGCGGGGGCTCACGCCTATAATCCCAGCACTCTGGGAGGCTGGGGTGGGTGAATCACAAGGTCAGGAGTTCAAGATCAGCCTGGTCAAGATGGTGAAACCACATCTCTACTAAAAATACAAAAATTAGCAGGGCGTGGTGGCGCATGCCTGTAATCCCAGCTACTCAGGAGGCTGAGGCAGAGAATTGCTTGAACCTGGGAGGAGGAGGTTGCAGTGAGCCAAGATAATACCACTGCACTCCAGCCTGGGTGACAGAGCGAGACTCCGTCTCAAAAACTAAAAAGAACATTCACCTATATACCAATACAACCTATTCACTCACACCGGAGAAAATTTACATGGATTTTGTTAGCTTAAGTAAACTTTATAATGATCTGTGTCTAACATCAAACATACCCACTGTGGGGGGTTAGGGGGATGTTAAGGCAGGATCCTCACCCCGTTGCCACGCCTATAGTGCGGTGGTGCTAACACGGCTCATTGCAGCCTTGACCTACCAGGCTCAAGTGATCCTCCTACCTCAGCCTCCTGAGTAGCCGGGCCTACAGGTGTGCACCACTATGGTCGACTAAATTTTTTAAATTTCTGTAAACACGAGGTCTCTTTATGTTGCCCAGGCTGGGCTCAAGCAATCCTCCTGCCTTGGCCTCTCAAAGTACTAGGACTACAGGCATAACCCACTGCACCCAGCTAATTTTTTTTTTTTTTTTGTAGAGGCGGAGTCTTGTATTGTAGCCCACGCTAGAAACATATCCATTTTTAAAAGCAGATATTTTTGTAGGATGCTTCAGATATGAAAAATGTCTTGGGTTTTCCTTTAAAGGATATTCCAGTATCTAAGCTCATCTAACTATCTACCTAGTTAGTTAAATACAATAAATATATATTTACCTGCCTAGTCAACATAAGATTCTAAATTGCATCTCTAAGGCTTCATTCTAAAACTCTGTAATCTCTGTAAAACTCTCAAATGTGAATCAGTTCTTGAATATCTGAATATGCATATATTGTTTGTTGTTGCAGGAGTAACCTTGGGTATGGTGGTTTTCTACACCGAAATACAAATTTTATTTAAACCCTAGAAATTTCAAGTTTCCCCTGGCCAGGCGGTGGCTCACACCTGTAACCTCAGCACTGTGGGAGGCCAAGGAGGGCGGATCACGAGGTCAGGAGATCAAGACGATCCTGACTGACACGGTAAAACCCCATCTCTACTAAAAATACAAAAAATTAGCCGGGCGTGGTGGCAGGCGCCTGTACTCCCAGCTACTCCGGAGGCTGCGGCAGGAGAATGGTGTGAACCCAGAAGGCGGAGCTTGCAGTGAGCCAAGAAAGCACCACTGCACTCCAGCCTGGACGACAGAGGGAGAAAATTTCAAGTTTCATGAGGCCCTTAATCCTGAAATGGTTACCTATTTTCCCTACCGCTTGCTTTATATATTTTAAAACATTCAACTATAAAGCACATACTTACATAAACCATACTAATTTAACTCTAAGGCAAATACTAATAATTCTAAGTGAACAACCAATCAGAACCAATTTATAAACAATCTCAGGAAAAGTAATAAAAACTCAATGAACTACCATGGAACAATCTGCAAGGTATAGTTAAGTAAAACAAACACAAGTGAAGGGTAGTAATGTTCCAATTTGCATACCTAAGTGGGGGAGGAAGACAGAGATATAGCTAGTCTCCAAGGGCACAGAAAGATAAATGAAACCTAGTGAATATATGGGAGAAGGGATGAGTGGGAGAGAAACTTATCTTTCACTGTATACACCCTTTTTATACCATTTCAACCATGTTGTACCTATACTGCTTTTATTAAAAAGTCCAAAATTAGTTGAAAACCAAATCAATTTTTTTAACTGGACAAAGTAAGGTTAAGAGAGATGTATATACCTGTGAAACATCATTATGGAATCTATCTACATAGTACTTCATGTACTTTTGCTCATTACCTTTACCAAAGAAAAGGAACCGTAAAAAAAAGTCCAAAATCTGGGAAGAGTAAGCATTGTTGAGTCTATGCGTGATATCACATACTTGAAACAATACTTCAAGTGCATGTAGCTCCTGATAAAGACAGCATAATACAAATGTTAAGAACATGAGCTTTGCCTACCACTGGGGACTAAGCTGTGAATACAATGGTAAACAAGGTGAGAGGCAGGTCCTGGGACACTCAAGACATCCCACACACAGAGTCTCCCTCAAGCTGATAAGGGCCAACAGAAGTTCTGCTTCACAACCCCTCTTAGGCTCCTCCCACTTCTACAAAATATCCAATCCTAAAACTCCAGGCTCCCTTTTGGCCCCACACCCATGCTGCCACCAGTGGTCCTCTCCATTCTCATGATGAAGGCAATAGACCTGATGCAACAGTAGAGGACAGAAAATACAAACGACAGGTAACTTCTGATTGTGACAGGACCCTGAGGTAGATAGGGATTTCACAGAAAGCAGTGCCTTTCCTCCTATAATACGTTACATAACAAGAGACAACTCACCTAAATTTACAGTATTTCCAGGACCATATAGATGTTAAATTTTTTCACATAGTTAATTCTCCTTTTCAATGAACATCTACTGATTTCATGAAACGTGAAGACCTATACAGCCTGATATTTGGAAGAATACCTAAGCCAGACAATACACTCACACTATGCAGATAGCTTAATCTAAAGCAGTATTTCTCAAACTTTCATGTATATATAAATCAAAGGGGCCCTTATTAACTGCAGATTCTGATTCAGTAGGTTTAGGGTAGGTCCTGAGATAAAGCATGTCTAACAAGTGCCCGCTTGATGCTGCTGTGACATTTTGAGTAGCAGGAACTGAAAAGATCTCTTTGACTAGCTTTTTTTTTTTTCCGCAATGGGGTTGCCGCCAGAACACAGGTGTCATGATAACTACCCCTAAAAGCCAAAACGGGAAAAGACTCATATCAACATTGATTGGACACGTAGATTCGGACAAGTTCACCACTACTCGCCATCTGAACTACAAATGTGGTAGCATCGACAAAAGCAGCACTGAAAAATCTGAGAAGGAGGCTGCTGAGATGGGAAAGTGCTCTTTCAAGTAGGCCTGGGTCTTG